AAAGGCAAATGGCAAGAAGGTGGGTGGTTTCTAGTGCCCAGGGTGACCCGTGGCTGACAGTGAGAAAGGAAAGCAGAACTCCAGTCCCACAGACCCAAGGAACTCAAGTCAGCCAATAACCTGGATGATCTTAAAAATAGAATTTTCCTCAGGTCCTCCAGAAAACAATGCAGCTCAGTTGGCACTTGATTTTAGCTTGTGAACTCTTGAGCACAGAACCCAGCTACACCGGACCTGGGTTCCTGACCTTACAGAGCTGTGGGATGACAGATGGCCATTGTTTCAAAAGCTTTAAACTTTGTGGTCACTTGTTACACAGCATTAGGAAACACATCCATCTCAAACATACAGAATATTCTTATCTTTCCACACAAAATGCATTTACACTATTCTAAAATTGCAGCCCTACAAATTAACTGGTTGTTTTCCTGTTTTATAGATGATGAAACCAAGACTCAAACTGTTTCCCTCAGTTATCGTTTTACTACCTGCTCTGGGGATATAGGGAGTGAATAAGATCATCATTTAGATGATTTCTGGTGTCACATAATTGAAGCCTTGGAGCCAGACATAGCCTGGCTCTTGTGACTCCCAGTCTGGCACTTTTTCTGTCTCCCTTACCCATGCTTGGGAGGGTGGCCAAGAACAGCTTCACAGTTTGCTTTATCTGCAGAATTCAGATGGTGGTGGGAGAGGTGCACAGTGTTTCATGTGCAGTGAAAGCTGAACTAGTGCCTTTTGGATGAGACTTCTGTCTGATGATGATTTCTTTAAAATGGCAAAAAAGAAATGCTCTCATAGCAAATGGGGTAAAACAGTTGTAGAAACAACCATTTTCCAACTGTTGGAAGAGTAATTTGATACATAAGACATTTAGTTAAACTGCAGTAGCAGAAGGCTTATAGCCTACATGTAAAACTCAACTAACTGATGTCCCTTGGGGGAAGGAGGCTTGCTCCAAGAACTAACTGTTAGCAGTTCATGGTATATTTATGTCTTTGCAGACAGCTTGGGTGTGCTTGAGCTCTGCCTTTACCACTCACCAGTTAAGAAATCTACCCATTAACCTAATCACTTGGGTGTCTAGCTTCTTAAGTGAGGTCTCAGGATTAGCTATTCTCTTTCAACTTTGATATTGCAGATTTCTAGCTGTAAAATGTTTTTAACTCTCCTGTGTAAAACATATACTTTCTAGGGAATTTTTTTTTAAAGCTTGATTCACAAGGTTTTGTGGGAGGAAATCAGAGTAAGTTCACACTGAAGCCACACACGGTAGTTAGCATGTGGCCGGGACAGGGGTGTGCATGAATGACTTGTTCCTCACGGACCTCCCTTCGCATCCACCTGATGTGGCGCGGAGCTTTTCTGCGTGTGGCTTTCCCTAGTGCAGAGCACTGTCTGCTCCTGCTTTCTTCTCGCTCTTGTCTCCTTCCCCTCTGCAAACCATGCAGTCCTGTCCTTTGTAGCTCTCAATTTTATAGATGATTCCATTCCGTATAATATTCATGTAGACACTTTTCATACAATAGTCCTCTCTGCTAGCTTTTTCTAGATACTTTAGAGTGATGTCAGTTTTCCTGCCTTTTAAAAAAAATTTGGATTTGCTTACAAAATTTGTATATAGTGTGTTTCACACTATTCATTCACATTTGTGTTTCATACACTCATTCCCATGCATTATGTTGTATAAAATGAATCACCATTATACTATGCCCACCATTACCCTATCTTTTCAGGTCCCCACGAGATCGTTCCCATTTCTTTTATCCCTTTCCTCCACTTACCAAATTGTGCAGCCCTGTGATTTTGCCTCTACACATCCTCACCCCTCTGCTCCCACTCTTGGATCTACATACATGTTTTATTTGTGTCTCAGGTGGCCCCCATCATGACTGATACATGCCCTTTGGAGGAAGACACAGGTCATGGGCTTTCAGGAGAAGCCAAGCCATTTTAGAGAAGCAGGAACATTACTGTCAAAGAATCAAAAGATGTGTCCTATGATTTTTCACAAAGATCATCTTCTATTTATTGCTGCTTCAGTTTAAACCTTTCCTTTCTCTACCAGTATTCAAGATAACCATAAAATTGAGCATTAGCTTATTTTTAGTTTTGGTTTTTTTCCACTTACAGAGTTAGAAGTTACTCTGTCAATTTAAGAGACTTTATATTTAGTTATTTTTCAAAAGGATGTATTCTGAGTTCTAAGAAACTTTTGAAACCACCTTATAGACTTAAAAATGTTAGTGTCAAGAAATAGTTCCTAAGGGTAATGGTGGGCATAGTTCAAGGGTGTTTAATTTTATAAAACAAGCAATGGGAATGATTATATGAAAAACAATGTGAATGAAGAATAGTGTGAAACAACGTATACGAACTTTATAAGCAAACCATTAAAAAATGGTTCATATACCATCTGACCATAAGGGGGCAGTGCAGGCACATTTATGCCACTTTAAAAATGGTTCTGCTCTCCAATGAATTGTAAAAAAATTAAGGCCAGGGTATTTGATTTGGTTTTTTCTGTTTGTTGTTGGGTATCATAGAGTCAGAGCTGACCCATAACTGACCCTCCAGCGAATTTTAAGAGGCAGTAAATCAATGAGGAGGAGATTGGCCATTTTTCTCCTGTGAAGCCCCTGGTGGGTCCCAACCAAATGCCTTTAGACTGGTAACACAACTCCTTACCACTTAAGCCACCAGTGCCGCCTTTAACTCTGGTAGTAAATATAACTAACATTTGAATGGAAACGTGATTACTTCTTCAGCGATCACACACGCATTCACTGCTAGTCGAATGTAAACTGACTCATAACTGACCCTCCACTAGGTTTTCAGAGACATTAAATCACATGGGAGGAGATTGCTGTTTTGCTCCCTCAGCACAGCTGGTGGGTCTTTGTGTTGGCAGTGCAACCCTAACACTGAACCATCAGAGTTCCCTTCCTCTGTGATACACATGCTCTCTTTTCATAACATATATTTAACTTGGAATACTTGAATCTAACTATTGGATTAATCACAGTACAATTATACTTCAAAAATCACCTTTATGGTCATTCTGAGACATATTTCCCTGGGGCCACAGGTGTCTCCTCTGAAGCTCTTAAGCCTGCCCAGCCTTGACGTAGCGATCTAATGACAGCTTTGGGCAAGGTATGGTAACATGGTAAACCCACACTTGGTAACATATTGAGAAGTGTTTTGAATAAACCTGATGAATATTTACCCTGTCCCATTTCTATGTTGACAATCTCAACTGCCAAACAAAGCTCCTCCTCTCTCCTCCACCCCCAGTCAAGATCTTTAATATACTTGTCTGCTTTTCAGGTTAGATCCTGAGCCTGCAAAGAATATGTCTGAGGTAAAAAAAAGAAATGTGCAAATAGGCATCTTTGAAAGGAATAAAAACCAAAATCATTTGAGGTAAAATGGATGATATGAAGTAGCAAATTTAGCAGAAATAGTCACAAAAAGAGGACTTAGTTGCATTTCTGAATTATAGAAATATTTCTATTTCAAATTGTGGTTTAAAAGGTGATTGTAGAATGACTGGATTAAGATCAAGGTTGAAGCTTGAAGTGAGTAAAGAAGTGTCATTAAATGATTGGTGGCTTCCTGAAGATCATAGGTTTGAGTACATATTGGAAATGGGTAAGTCTCCACCTTACTCCTGTATAGCCTACCGGGTGGCCTAGTGTAGTGGTTAAGGGCATGGCCTTTGGGGCCTACTTGTTTGGGTTGGGCACTGGCTTTGTCACTTTCCAGCTCTGAGACATTGCCCAGTTGCTTCTCATTCGGAAGGATGGGGATAAGAATAGGGCGTACCTTAACAAGTTATTGTGAGCATCACATGAGGTAACACATTTGATTGCTCAGATTGTAAAGTAAGCTTGTAAGAAATACTAGCTATCGACATTGAAACAGACGAGGGAGTAAACTGTATAAAAGGAATATATGATTTGGTATTATTGGCATGACAAGAGTCCAGAATAAGAGCTGCATAGTAAAGTGATCTGGGGAAGGGGCCTGTATAAAGATGAAAGAACTTTTTTCCTAAAGAAAAAGCAATCTGAGGGTAGGGGGACAGGGAGGAAAATGTGCAACAATGAAGGATTGGAAAACCAAATTCATTGTAAACTTTGATTAAAATCTAAAAAAAAAAGAATGCCTTTGGGGGTGGGGGGGAAGAAATACTAGCTATCACTGTCTGTCTGTTTTAAAGTCTGTTAAGACGTGTTTCCACAGCAGCATTTCCCAAGAGAGATGTAAAGACAACAGGACGTTAATTCTCTCTGACCTCTCAAGCCAAACCAATTCCTGAACCTGCCATTAATTTTTAAACACTAGGTGTCCTAGTGCTTGTATTGTCACATGTGGCTAGGCTACAGCACACTGCCGATGTGTTTTTAGTTATGTTCCTTGTACACAAAGACTGTCTGAACCTTTTGTGTTGTAGCAACAAGTTTAGACTGTCTGCCACTTGATTGCTCTCTTTATTAAGTGGTAGTTTTCAGAATTAAAATTTGTTTGCAGGATCCATGGATTAAAATATTCACAATGCTTCAAAATAGTAGATTGCTATGACTATGTATATGTAAAAAAAGGAATTAATGTTATTGCCTGCTTCACAGGTGTTTGGAAATGAAATAAAATTTTCAGTCTTTTGACAAAACTGAGCAATGCTTCAATCCACACATTTCCTTCTTTGTAGTTTTATTTTTTACTATGATTAAAATGTGGTTCATCCCAGGGGATGCTCTGGGTCCCCTTTTCTGCCTGTCCACTGACACCCTTCCATACGTTCTTATCTTTCTGTTTTTATGCAAAGGAGAAGCTTTTTTTTTAACAGTGAGGTTTCTTTGAGATGTGACAGCAGGGTGTGTTGCCTGTCTGCCAGCAGACTAAGCAGATACGTAGACATAGGTGTATTGGTACATTTTACCCATGCTTTGATGGAGGGATATTACATAAGACTTTTTTCCCTCCCCCCTTTGTAGACACTGACAACTCAGAACTATCTCAAGACTCAGGAACTTTTCCTTCTGGATATTATTATGAAGACCAGTGGAGGCCCAGGAAGTTCAAGATGCGCCAGTTTAACGACCCTGACCAAGTCACAGAATGTTTACAAAGAAAAATGGTGTATTTATTCGGTGACTCAACAATCAGGCAGTGGTTTGAATACCTTACTGCATTTGTTCCAGGTTGGTACTTGGCATTTTGCTCTATTTCCCACATGCATGAAATCAGCTTTGCAAGGCAGGCACTCTCTCAGGAATCTAAAGAAGCCATCGACGAGGAAGCAGGCCTTTGTCTGTAGGACAGAAAAGGAAGGCATCCCTGGCCTGGGTGATTCTGTCTGTAAAGTAAAAGTGGACATTTTTCGTTGTTTGCTCCTAATTCTATTTGGTCCAATTCCAAGATTATAATAGATTTAATGAGGTGATGCAGCCTAACCCGCTGCATTTCAGTGGCTCCATTTCAGTGCAGCCGGGAGCAAAGTCCTCCTAACGCAAGCTTTTCACTGGGGTGACTCAGAGATGGATCTGGCTCCCCTGGGGACGGCCCTGTGTAAGTGGTCATTGGCCGCCACCCGCCCTGATTCCACTACTTGATTTTGGAATTGCTCTCTAGAATTAGAATAGAACCTCACTTGCTGAAAGGCCACTCCTTATTCACAAATGGACCTTCACTCTCTGGAGGGTTGGGATGAGAACAGATGGATCCCAAGAGCTAGGAATAAAAACACTGCTTACAAGTGAGAGAGTTGAAAAAAAAAATAGTTTTGTAGAACTAGACATTGACAGAACTTTTCACAAAGTAAATTCCCATGGTTGATCATGAGTTGTCACTTTGTGATGATTTTCCTCAGTTCTTACTTATTGCATCAACTTGGTTGCATACATGGTTTTCAGAAGGAAAGGAGGAAGTGGACATTACCCTAAAAAGTGGAGAACTACTTTCTGGGTTTTGGTTTTTACTTTTTTAAAGGTAGAGTAGACACTGCTGAATTTTACTTGATAAAGTTTAGAACTGAAAGTCAGGAGAAGAACAATGATTTGTGTAGCATGGTGGTGGTTCAGGAGTCTACAGTTGATTCATTTTTTGGTTCTAGTGATGTAATTCAGTATTTCCTTTGATAGTAGTAATCGTATTGACCATCTCGGTCATTTTCACCATATCCTCTACAGACAGATTGTTACCTGATAAGATCTTGTGTCAACTCTTGGTCTTACAACAAAAAATGGAGTGTGGAAGACATTATGCAGAGTGAAATATCCCAAAGGACAAATACTGCATATGACTCTATTATAAAATAGAATTGACATGGGGTAGGGGGCAGGGGGAGAACAGAGAAAGAGTGAATAGATAAGAAACACTGCACTGGGACAAACAAAGGAGGGGACTGTCTGAAAGGAGTGTATGATGAGGTATTATATGTATGACAGAAGGGCATTACAAACGGAATTGGGAGAGGGGAAGAAAGGCGGAGGGAGGAAAATGTGCATCCGTGAATGAATGAAAACTCAACCTTTCTGGAAACTCATTAAAGTCACATACACACAAAAAGAATGAGTGATACAGAATGAGCTTGGAGGCAACTGAAGAGGGGCTGGGTGCTAATAATAAAGAATTAGGTCAGAGAAACTGGGAATGCACATGGACAAGAAGGAAGCATTCATTTGAAGCCTGGTGACCTATTAAGAAGCTCTGGTGGCCTACGGAAGCTGTGCTGCAATCTCAAAGGCACGTGGTTTGAATCCACCAGCTGCTATTTGGGAGAAGGTGGACAGTCTCCTCTCGTGCAATTTACTGCCTCTGAATACTCGCTGGAGGGTCAGCTATGGGTTGGTTTCGATTTGATGGCACACAACAACAACAACAACAGCAAACAGTAATAGTAGGAATTATGATCTGATATTACTCCTTCAGATTTGACAGAAAACGAAAACTTTCTTGTCAACAGGGATTATAACGTAGCACATCTAAATAAACACTGTTGGCTTGTAGTGCTTTATAGTAGCTGGCACTGAATAAGTACTTACGAAATGTTAATTGGATTGGATTTCCAAAATGTTCTCAGACTTATTTGTTCTTGGAATGTTTAGGGATGTAAGATCGGTCCTTTTTCCTGGAGGGATATATGTTAGGTGGTAAATGGATCATGCATATAGAGTAACACGGAGTCAGTCACTGATTTCCCGAGACCTTCAGAAGACTTGGGAGGAGCTGGATATTGAGGTAGAGCTTAGGTAAAGGAGAAGAGAACAAAGCGTGGGGGTTGACTAGTGCTGCCTTTGCTATATGCATGATAGGAAGAGTAGTTTGTCTCTAAAACAGTAACATGATTTTCAAAATTTAGGGTGAGATAGAAAGTAACAACAAACCATGGTTGTACCTCTCTTACTTTTGGCTTCTTTCTAAATGAGACATTTATCTACGAATATGATTTCATATAAACCTAGAAGTTATAACCCTTGTCCTGGAATAGCTAGTACTTGTTTGAAACAGTGAAGTTTCAATGCCAAGTTGATTTTGAAATACTCATTGATGAATGAAAACAGTAAGGTTTCAAGATTTACTAGCTAAGAGTGTAACCATTTTGTGGCTGAGGTAGGGGCAGTGGTAGAATTCATCACTGATGGTATTATCAGTTATAATTTTTTGCATGATTTCAATAACAATGTTAAAGGTGCACTGATTTAAAGTAAGTGAAGGTCCAATATTGTGGAAGAATGGGCAGTCTTCTCCTGTGTGAGTTACTGCCTCTGAAAACCCACTGGAGGGTCAGCTGTGAGCCAGGTCTGACTCAGCAGCAACAAAAACATTATTGGAGTTCTGATGGCCTTGGAGCCTGTAGCAAGGTGTGCTGCTAACCAAAGCTTGAGCATCTCTGGCGGTTTGAATCCACTAGTGCCTCTGTGGGAGCAAGATGTGCAGTCTCCTCCTATTGTGATTTACAGCCTTGAAATGCGATAGAGGGCCCTGTGAGTTGGAACCAACTTGAAGTTAGTGAGCTTGAGTTAATTGATTTTAAGGTATAATAAAATATATATTCCCTTTACACTTGTGGTGTGCTTGTCAGCATTCTTGTGCTTTTATTTTGAAAAATGTCTTTGAAGCCACTTTAGTAAAGACTAATACTTTAAAAAAAATAATGCTTGATTGGATGTCTTTATGAATTGGAGTTTTCCTTATTTCAGATTTAGTGGAATTTAACTTGGGCAGTCCCAAGAACGTTGGGCCCTTCCTTGCAGTGGACCAGAAGCACAACATCCTGCTGCAGTACCGCTGCCATGGGCCCCCCATTCGCTTCACGACTGTCTTCAGCAATGAGCTCCGCTATGTGGCAAACGAGTTGAATGGCATCGTGGGAGGGAAGAACACGGTGGTCGCCATCTCCATATGGTCTCACTTCAGCACCTTCCCCTTGGAAGTGTACATCCGGCGGCTCAGGAACATTCGTCGAGCCGTTGTCCAGCTCCTGGATCGAAGCCCTAAGACTGTGGTGGTCATCCGGACAGCCAATGTCCAAGAGCTGGGGCCTGAAGTGAGCCTTTTCAACAGTGACTGGTACACCTTTCAGCTGGACACCATCCTTCGGAGAATGTTCTCAGGGGTTGGGGTATATCTTGTTGACGCCTGGGAGATGACACTGGCCCACTATCTACCCCACAAGCTGCATCCAGATGAGATTATTGTGAAGAACCAGCTGGATATGTTTTTGTCTTTTGTGTGCCCTGTGGAGACCTAGCCTGTCCTGGAAAGGACTGGAGGGATCACACTCGGTGACGCTTCTCCATCATTTGCATTATAGGCGGTTCATGGCTGACCCCATGGAAATATTGCTACCATTGACATGAACAGAATTTTAAAGAGCTAGACTTATGATAGAAGCAAACAGCAACAAGACCTGGACTTTATGCAGTGACTTGTAAGGTACTTAAAAACTGCAGGTTATATTATATATACCTATAAGATTCTTTCCAGTCTTAACTTAGCCATAGGAGAACCATTACTAAGAGTATCTAGATACTGTATTGTTCTTGTAACCAAAGACATTAGTGAGTATATTTGAACTAGCTTTTCCTGGGAGGAAAGATGAATGTCTCAAAAAAGTGACAAATGATCTGTCCCAAATGGAAGGGAACAGTTTGGTTGTCAGTGCAGTATTCATAGCTAATCTAGTAAAGGAAACGGAACACAGCATACACATCTGCCTGAATAGCACAAATGCCCTGTCTTCAGTCAAGTGAACTAGAGAGGGATTCTGGTCGGGTTTCTGTGAACACACTGAAGACCACCTCATCTCAGGAATTTCCTTTCCTGATCTTCCTTTTCTGAGTTTCTTGAAAAGGTCTGTGTGCTGGTCAGGAATTATCTGCCCTGTCCTTCCCAGCTACCCCCCCCCCTTTTTTTTTTTTTTATAAAGAATGGAAGCAAAAGAGAAAATGATGACTTCAGTCTCTATATAAAATCTGTACTTTGAATTGTTATTTGCATTGGATGAGTGTTTCTTATTTGAGTCAGCTAAATTTTACATGATGAATAATTATTCTGTGATAACTGCCTTTTGGAACTGGAAGAGGGAAATTGATAAATTGAAATTTATTTTTGTGTTCTGAATGTTAAGGTTTTGAGAACTGACTTTTATGGAAAGAATGTGATTATCATAAAATTGTGGAAGCTGTTTCCACCCATTTCAAGTGTGTCTTTTTGTTGTTATTATCTTGAACCGCATACCAAAATAAGACTCATTTAAAAATTAAAGGTACAAATTAAACTCTATGACACTATTTTTTTATTTGGATCCAAGTTACTTCATGTTAGAAAGGAAAAGCTGCTATTCCTAGTTATTTTAAAATAATTGACATAATTTTTTATTTGAATATCTTTATCTTACTAATTTTAAAGGCGTTTTGAATAACACAGCACAGTGCCTTTTCCAAGCAAGACGCTGGAGAAGATAAATTAACAGTAAAGACAGAAGAGGAAGAAATGACCAAAATGGATGTCAGAAGAGACTCTGAAAATTGCACTGGAGCGCAGAGAAGCCAAAGCACAGGGAAGAATTCAAGATACTAAAAAGTTGACTAGAAGATTTCAAAAGGCAGCACGGGATGACAAAGCAAAATATTACAATGAAATGTGCAAGGAGTTGGAGTCAGAAAATGAAAAGGGCCGAACTC